AGAGCATCACTGCCCCAATTCTTTTTTCTTTTTTCTTTTTTTTTTAATGATTTTTAGTGGGGAATTGGGGAAGGGGAACAGTGTTGGGGAATTGGGGAAGGGGAACAGCCTAGCTGTTGTCCTTCAATCTTAGTTGTGGAGGGCGCAGCTAGCTCAGCTCCAAGTCCAGTCGTCATCCGGCTGCCCTTCGGCAGCTCACGGCAGCTCAGCTCAAGGTGCTGTGTTCAATCTTAATTGCGGGTGGGTGTAGTCCACCATCCCATGCGGGAATCGAACCGGAAACCATATTGCTCAGAGCTTGCTCTCTTAACCAACTGAGCCACTCGGCTGGCCTACTGCCCCAATTCTTTTTTTACCCATTCCATTTTAATTATGTTCCCTTATTAATAAGGGTCATTCCAATAAAAAAAATCAAGTCTTTATTGAGCACTATGAACATAGGTGTAGAGCTGTGAAAGACACTGTGGAGGTTAGGGAAGAAATATAAGATACAGCCCCTGACCTCAAAGAGCTAGAAATACAAGGAAAAGACTGAAACAACCAGAGAAAAATATAAGGAGGATGAAACTGAATGAAACATTGTGGAGACAAACTCTAAAGTATTAAGAACAGGGCCGGCCGAGTGGCGCATTGGTTAGGAGGTGGCTTGGGACGCCAGCTCTGAGCAGCAGGGCCCCGGTTAAGATCCCACATGAGGGCCAGTGACGCTGCACCCTCTACAGCTAAGATGATGAACAACAGCTCGACCTGGAGCTGGGCTGCCATGAGACACCGGTGATGGCATGGGCTGCAGTGGGGCCGCAGTGGGCTGCTGTAAGCTACCGTGAACGGCCGGCAGCCAGAGTGAGCGGCCAAGAGCCGCTGGGAGCGGCCGTCCAGGGCCCAGTGAGCAACTGCCTCACCTGGGAAGAGCGCAATGATAACACCAATATGGGCCAGTGAAGCGACGTCCTCCACAACTAGACTGAATAACAAAAGGACAGCAACTTGTCTGTTTCCCTTCCCCCGATTCCCCAATTCCAAAAAAAAATAATAATAATAAAGTATTAAGAATAGAGAAGTCTATGTTGGCTGAAATGCTGAGAACTTAACCTGGGTTTTGAAGTGATGGTGAGGGGTGTGGTATTTCAGCTTGGACTTAAAGAATTGACAGACAGATACTCAGAACAAACAAAACCCTGGCTGAAGAAAGTGGATGTTTTCTGAAGTTGAGAATTTTAATGCAGATCAGATTAAAAAAAAAACTATTGTTAGTTTGTTTTGCTAGCTAAAATGATGACAATTTAGAGCCAACTAGTGCATCCTACTATGATTATCTAATTGTTCTCAACTTTTTTGCATAGAAAAGTAAAGGCATAGCTTAAAGTCTTTGAAGGTTTTAGACTGAATGAAGTGCTTAGTATAGGTCTGTGTACACTGAATTCTCCAGAAGATCTTGAGAACTGACTACAAAAAGAAACTTATTTTTGCCCATGCCTCTAAAGAATAAATATGCTTACAAAATGTCTTCAATTTGTGGTTTCTGACTCTGGTATACCATTTGAATTCCTGATTTTATATTGTAGATTATTTTGAAATTACAGAACCATTAAATAAAGAATAGCCATGCCAGTAGCTTTACATGGCAAACAAAAAACTAAAGTAAAAGATTTTAAAATGGACACAGCCATACAATATAGCTTTTGTGTGAATTTGCTGGTTTTAAAAACAATACTTTCCTGAGTTGCTACTTTCCGTTTCAGTGGCATTATAAAAGAATGGGCTAAATATAGAGTTAGAGCATGGAAGTATTTTATGCTTCTCAATTCATTAGACCTGATATAAGGCCCTTATCAAAGTTAAGTATATATGGACAAGTGGACCCTTGCATCTGTAGTGATGTGGATAGGCTGAGACAGCAGCAGTCAAAGTAGAAGGGTGCTTTCTGCCTTGGTTCTGAATCCTGTATATACAGGCAGGATGGTCCAGTGGAGTCACTTTCACATATATAACTGAATTTTTCTCAAAAATAATCTGAGTATTTCAAGAAAAATTCTTTTCTTGGATTGAGTTTCTAGATACTTCTTGCTTATTTTTATTGTTTGGAATAACAGTTGTTCACACCTTTTAAAGGGAAAAGCTAGTGACTATAATTAGAAAATAGAAACCAAAAAGTATTGCCTTCTCTTAAGAAGAAATGACATTTTAGGTTTGTTCTATACTGAATAGCCTAGAAAACCTTTAAGAATTCTCTTTTGGTATTTTGAATATATACGTTTGAATAGTACTTTGAAAGAAGTCGCTTGCTATTCATGACTTTGAATTCATCTCTTCTTCTTTTGCTATCCAAGATAGAAGAATAGGGCGTTAGTCTTGTGTTTATTTGTACTTTACTAATTACTTTAGACAGGATCAAAGTGTGGCACAAATTCATTATTTACTTGGCATTGTTGAAACTTTTAAGTGATAAAAAAACTCTAAAAACGTCTATCTTAGTCAGAGCTGCCTGTTAATTGTGATGAGAGAACACAAAATCATTTGTGTGTTTCCATTTTGCTGATAATGCAATCTGTTTTCTAAAAATAAAATAAGTGTAATTTTTCTTCTGCTTTGTATGGGCCTGAAAAATACTCTATGATCTTTACCTTATTTTATGTGTGTGCTTGTTTACATTAAGAGAAGCTTCAAAAGGTGAATGTCCGAATTTACTTTCAATTTATATATTCCTTACATAGATAAGACTTTCTTTTTTGAACTTATATGCCTGTTAAATGACTCTTGTTTCATTATGGAAGAAAACTACAAATGCTTTGGCCATATGATTCTAAGTTTAAGAGAAATAAATCAATCAGATGTGACAAAGTGTCTGAAATAATTTTAACTGAATAAATAAAAATTATTAGAATTTTTCCAAATCTCTTTTTGGTAAACGTTGTTCAAATTGTTTGTTCAAAAATTTGTTCAAACTTCGGTTACATAAAAAGCCTATACAACTGGGTGTACTCATTGAAATAAAGCAGCGGTTCTCAACCTTCCTAATGCCACGACCCCTTAATACAGTTCCTCATGTTGTGGTGACCCCCAACCATAAAATTATTTTCATTGCTACTCTATAACTGTAATTTTGCTACTGTTATGAATAGTAATGTAAATATCTTTTTGTTTTCCGATGGTCTTTGGCGACCCCTGTGAAAGGGTCGTTCGACCCCCAAAGGGGTCATGACCCACAGGTTGAGAACCGCTGAAATAAAGGATGGTTTTTCCTAATCTGCCTCCCCTTCTTATGTGAAGAAACAGGAAGTGGTAAGATAAAACATATTAAAGGATTAAACAGACATTATGGCCTGCAAGGGTTTCAAAGCACACACACACACACAATTTCTTTGTGACTAGACAAATATTCAGTACTCTAAAAACATGCCTATAATAATGAAGAATAAAAATTCCCTTTGTTTTTCTTTAGGATTTAAGCTAGTATAAATAAATATTTCCAACACCTAGGAATTGTCAGTATTTAAGCCTTTGGCAGGGTTTCTGTAATATGAAGTAAGATTTCTACCTATGTTTTCTATCTGAAAATTTAAAAGAAAATAGTAAACACAATTCATCCAGAAGAGTTTATGCTGTGGGGTTAAACATACAAATAATTCTAAATTGTAGGAATTAACTGAAAGATTTTTTAAAATGTCACTCAGATGGCAAACATTTGATTTTTACTTTAGTTACTTTTAGTAGCTTGACTAATATGGACTGACTAATATGGATTTGTCTCAGAATTGTTAACCACTGTTAAATATTTTCCAATCTGTATATAACATACTTATAGAAATACTCTTTTAAAAGCAAGACATTTGGGAATGGTCTTATTAGATAAATGCCAAAATAGAAATTACTGATCTAGGAGGCTAGAACACTAACCAAAAACAAACAAAAACAGAAAACCCTCAGTTTCACTCTCGATTTGCCCCCCAGTCAGTGCCATTAGAACCCTTTTTCAGGTTTATGTGTAGGATTCTGAAGTTAATTCTCCCTCTTACTAGTTGTTTAGTTAGGATACCTTCTTATGTCAGGAAACAGCATAACAGCCCAGTAGAGTATGATTTTGACTTGATTCCTTCAGTGTATTAGATAACTACTCCGAACATCAGTTTGCCAATCTGTAAAAGGTATATTAGTTCCATTTTGGTGATGCTTACTTAGATGAGTTATATTTGTGCTTGACTTATACTTCAACTGCAAGACATGGTAGCTATGTAATAATACTTATTTCTAAAACCTGAGTTGTTATAATATTCTAATTTTAATAGTAAGGATAATTATAATTATTATTAATTACTGTTTTAGTATCTTTACCAAGTGAAGATAACCTGTGTTCCCTTCAGAATTCCATAACTATAACTATAAAACTGTATAATTATACTATTTTATTTTAAAGTGCCTACTAGTAGTGAAGATATTATTACATTTTACTTTCATGCAAAAGCACTCAAGCTTGACACGACATTATTATTTGTAATTTATAGTAATAAATTTTTGGTTTTTGGTAAAAGTGTTACTGTGTGATGCCTGCATGTTCATCAGTTTCCTAAAACTTTATACTTCTCTTAGCTATTACCAAACTTTTGCTCTGTCTTTAGAAGTAGGTTATGTCAATTACTTCATTTTACCATTTAACAGAAGCTAACATTAAAAAATCTTCATGTGTAAGTTCTTTCCTTAGACTGAGCAGAGTGACAAAGTTGTCACAAACAGATTGGATGCTTATATGGTGTTTATGTTGTTTTCTGCTAGGAGGTCGGAGAGTGACTTACCACTTATAAAAATTATTCTTAGGTTGTATGTCAATACATATGATAGTTGCCCAGTTTTTTAATCACTCTATTTATAACTATTAAATGTACTGTATTTGAATCTTAAACTTCTCCCCCCGCCTCACCCCCAAGAGAAATATGTATATATAAAACTTGGCTGCTCAATTTTGGTATTCTCCCAAAGCTAATCATGTTTCCCTTTCATCCTAGTTCAGACTTGGTTCCTTCAACCTAGAGAAAGTTGCAAGCCCAGCTGAGGTCATTAGAGAGCTTATTTGTGACTGCTTGGACACCATCACAGAAAACCAAGCCAACAATGAGCACCTGCGGAAAGAAAATGAAAGGCTTCTGAGAGATTGGAATGATGTTCAAGGACGGTGTGTGCATGATGTGCTTGTATTATATAAACACTAAGCTCTTTTAGATTGTTTTGCTTTAAGTTAATGACTCATAAATTTATAACATATATAGACTAGGATATATTTAAAATAAGTCTATCATTAATTATACCTTCACTTAACATGATTAAACTAAATCATTGGTCACTATTGTACATTGTAGTAGTACATTAACATTTTTAGGTTGTTAGTATTTGGTACCACCAGAAAACTTATAAATGATAAGGAGTAATTGAGCAATGTGAATCAGAACCGATGAATATTAGTCAAGATTTAGGAAGTTAATATTTATAAGGATTAATGTAGTTCAAGTTACAGGATTAATAATGAATAAAAAGAGACATGAATCATTAGCACAATTGATTCCTTATTTGGAATCTTTATATGAATGGCAACTATTTCAAATGATGTGTGTTTTGGCTCCTATTAGAGACTTATTTTTCCTGATTGATAGAAAATTCATACTACCAGCATTTTTAAAAGATGAAGTAGTTGTGACTACTGGAAAAGACATTTGAAAGCCTTTTATTTTTTAAAAGATGAAGAGGAAAGTCACTTATCTTCTCAATTATGAATTTTCTCAACTATGTCAAGCTGGCCCAGGGTTTAGCCTATACTATTTGGTTATGTAAAAGATGTTTGGAGAAAATAAAATATATGTTGTGAACATTATATCTTTCCAGAGACATATATAATATAATGTGTATCTATATATCCTGCCCCATCAGAGAGAATTATGTGGCATGTATATATTAATGATAATTATTATTATTACATCCAGTATACCCAGTAGATTTTTTAAAAACTTTCATTCAAACCAGTAGTGGTTCTAAAACATAAAAACATTTTTATCCTATTTACAGTCTTTTTAGAGCAATCATTGAGATTGTTTTTATGGACATTAGTAAGTGGGGAGTACATGAAAAATAAGTGAAGGGTTTTATCAATATATATGTGAAAATGAAGGTGACTAAAAGAAATTATTTCTATATATTGAATTATATTTATTAATTAATACAAGACATACAGAATTAACTTCTTAACACCTGATTATAGTTGGCTTTCATTTATTATTGTATACTAAGAAAGTATGTTTTTCTCATTTAGCTCTGAATTAATCTTTATCTACAAGTATATAAAAATAATGAAACCAAATTAAAACTGTGTAAATATTAGGAAAACATGCAGAAAAATAAGTTAATTTTTCTCTTTAACTTGTATTTTATTCATGTTTATATGAATCAATATCAAATATCTGTTCTAGAAAGCATGTTTTGGGGCCTATATCTGTAGTTTGGGTGTGTTTCTCTATTTATATACAAAATGAATCAAATTAAAGGAGATGTACTGTGGCCATGATAAGCCATTATATTTAAAACTCAAAGTACCCTCAGGATGATAGGAAATTTGATCCACAAATTGCCCACAAAAATGCAGACTGGGTACTTGGTACTTGAGGAAATTGCTTTAAAATGCCTGCCAGAGTTTGAGAGAGGTATTATCTCATCAGCATTCAACAGCATTTCCATAGAAAGGAAAACAGGATGGAACAAAGATGAGAAAATAAGCCCTGTGCTGTGAAACTGTGTGTGAGGGGTACATATAATACGTGGCCCCCAAATGCTTGATTCGCTATTTCTGAGTTATCTGGAAAGTACTTTGCTGTTATTGTGGCAAAACGTTTTCTATTTGATCAAAGCACAGCAATATATATATATATGTGTGTGTGTATATCTTATGTCCTGACTTAGTATGTTCCAGCTTTTTTTTTTTTTTTTTTTGTAAATACTGGATCAGACATCTTCAGAGGCTGAAGATGTATGCTAGTGCCGTGGCCCTCCAAACTGAGAGGAAAGAGAGTCCACTCCAGAGAATTCTAAATTCATTTTTTTAAAGATTTTATTGGGGAATTGGGGGGAGGAAACAGCATTGGGGAATCAGGGAAGGGGACCAGACAAGTTTGCTGTCCTTTTGTTCTTTAGTCTAGTTGTGGAGGACGTTACTTCACTGGCCCTTTTTGATATTATCATTGTGCTGTTTCCGAGTGAGGCAGTTGCTCACAGGCCATTGGACAGCCACTCACGGTGGCTCATGGCAGCTCACGTAGGCTGCCTGCCAGCCAGCCACACTGCAGCCAATGCTGTCACCAGCGACTCACGTCCCGCAACTCCAGGTTGAGCTGTTGTTCACTGTCTTAGCTGTAGAGGGCGCAGTGTCACTGGCCCTCATGTGGGATCCAAACTGGGGCCCTGCTTCTCAGAGCTGGCATCCCAAGCCAACGCGTGATCAACACGCCACTTGGCCAGCCCACTAGATTCTTATTATATTCCAGCTGTTAGTGGCTTTATCTATTTCCCCAATTTGGTTTTCTTTCTCCTATCAGAGGAGAAAGGGGCTATTTTTAGGAGCTATAAATACTGCTTTCTTTAGCATTCTCTCTCAACAGCCTTAGTATACTAGAAAATAAACAAAGGATTTACAGCTCCAGCTTCCATGAGGCAAGGGGTACTAATCAAAAGTCTAATTTAGAGAGGATTAGACATAGGACATGAGCATGAGTTAGATAACTGAGGACATGGAAAGCAGAGAATCATTAGTTGAGACCCTCATGTTAGGCCTGGCCATAGTTAGGTTTTCAGGGCGTCCTCTGATTACTCTTATATCAGTGTCCATCCACAATCCAATCATTTCTTCCTCATCATTGTTCCAAACTGTGTATGCCTGGGAGAGTGAAAAGGGGAAGAAGGATATAAAATAAGTCCAGAGAATGCCTTATAAACTATGGTACATAGGTTCAAATATATTTAACACACAACGGGATATTGTGGGAGCAAAAATCAATCATATATACATGCGCATATACCAGGGAAATGTTCATGATAATGTTAAGAGGAGAATTATGAATTACCAAAAATTTGAGTAATAGCCTGTTTTTTGCAAACCATATCTTTAGACAAAGACTATTTAGAAGGAGAAAATGAAATTTTAATAATCTACATCTGGAATTGTGGACTAAATTTTCCTTTATGTTTTGGGGTTATTTTTTGCATATATTTTGGTATTTACATATGTATTATTATTATAATCAGAGATAACTCTAAAGTTATTTCCATTTGGGATGACTGGAGAATAACCGAGGTTTGAGTAAGGAATGAGGAGTTACAGTATGATTAAAAAGAAAGCATTTTAATGCGTAGACTTTCAACATATATGATTTTTTTTTTTTTTACTGTTTAATACTTGTGGTCTTAGCTCCATTTCAAACAAGTAAAAATGCTGGATTAATATAATTTTGCATAGTTTATATAGAGAAAACATTAGAAATATTGTATATGAATCCTTAGATTATTAGCTATATTTATTTTACTGGTTTTTCCTATTTAATTTTAAATAACAACTTCCACATTCTATGTTACTGAATAGGTCTTTTGTTTGCACGCAGACATCAAGTTAGAAAGAAACTCTCCAGCTTTATTCTGAGTTTTAGTTATTAAACCTATAATTTGAGGCAGTTTTCAGCAGATCGAATTGGGTTGACACTCACTGAATCATTAGAATAGAAGAGGCCTTGAAAGCTCTTCTACTTCATCTCTCTGCCTTCAAGCTAGGATCACATTATATCCAGATGAATTCAGTCCGATTTTTAAAGACCTCAAGAGAGAGCTTCAACTCCCCTTGGTAGCCCATTACAGTGTTTAAGCACAGCCACAGTCAGAAAATTCTTCCTTCCATCTATTGGTAATCTGAGTCCTTCATGGTATAGTTGAAGGCCATTTCCTCTTGTTCTGTCCTCAGAAAGGATGAGGAACAGCTGTTTACCATCTTCTTCAGTACTTAAGGCTTATTAAATCTCTTTACCAGTGCTTTCTTTTCCAGTGCTTTTTAGCATTCTTTGTCCTTTGAACTCTATTAATATTTTCTTTTGCTGTACAACCCTGACCTGGATATAAATTTGGCCAGAGATGATTGTAAATATAAGGATTACTGCACTGTTTCTGAGTACCACATGTTCACATTTATGTATCTATTGTTTAATTTTGGGTTATCATGTAATCTGTTGTTTTACTTTGAATGCTGTTTCTGCATGAAATTGCTTTCTGGTCTTATTTTTGTTGTTTTTTTCACTTGTTATTCTTACATTCTTTGTTTTCACACCCAGACATATTTTATTTTGAATGTTCATTGTTTTTCGTATTTAGCTTTTATCCTTTTAATTTTTTTAAAAAAATTACTATCCTTTAAAAAAATTATTATCTAGGTTCCTAGATATCTCAGTCCTAAGTTACTAATGAAATTTACCATATTGTTCTGTTGTCCTAGTCACTGTTGAAAGGATGAAGCATCATTTTTCCTTTCCTGTTTTAAATTATTTATGGTTCCATCAGGTTTGTGCTTTGCCTTCAAAATAGATGATCCTTGGACTAGCGTGGTCTGATCTGATTGTGCATGAGTTCTCCTTTAGTATCATGAAACTTAGTAGTGAAACCCATGTTTCTCCTCCACTGAATGGTCCCCATATTAATATCTGTTCAGTCCTTGAGGTAGAGGGTTGGCAGGAGGCAGGGAATATGGAAGGCATAGTAACATCATAATGCCCTAAGGGAGGACTGTTACGTCATATGGGGCATGAGGGATAGTAGGTACCCTTTTAATTACTGAGTAATTCATAAAAGGATAGCTTTCCCTGAATTTGTTGATAAATTAATAATTAAGAGTAAGTTTATTTCCTGAAACTGTTCACAGTAATAATCTGTCCCAGCTAACCCGCCCTCCCCAGCTTTGTCTAGGAAGTGTTATCCAGTTTGATCATCTGAACATTGGTTGTAACAAAATCCTAAAGCTTTGTTAAAACCAAATAAGTTTAACTCACAAGATGCCATCATTCTACTGAGTTTGTTTTCTTACCACAGAAATGTTGTTGACTTTGACAGTGTGGCAGTGACACTAGTTATTTGGATTAACAGTATTCTCTAGAAAAAATATATGATATTTCATTTTGATATCTATTTTCATTTTTTTTTTAAGATTTTTATTGGGGAATTGGGGGAAGGGGAACAGACACGTCGCCGTCGCTTCGTTCCTCAGTCCAGCCACAGAGGACGTCGCCCCACTGGCCCAAGTTGGTACCATCACCGCACTCCTCCCGGGCGAGGCAGACCAACCGCCGGCCCCTGGACGGCCGCTCACCGCAGCTGCTGGCCGCTCACGTTGGCCGCTGACCACACACACACACACACACACACACACACACACACACACACGGCAGCCCACGGCAACCCACTGCCACAGGGGCCACAGCCCAGCTCCAGCCCATGGCAGCCCATCTCCAGGCCGAGCCACTGCCCAGCATCCCAGCTGCAGAGGGCAGCGTCACAGGCCCTCACGCGGGATCCAAACCAGGGCCCTCCGGCATCCCAAGCCAGTTCCCAACCATTGTGCCACTCGGCTGGCCCTCTGTTTTCATTTTTAATTCATTTTGATAAGTGCACATACTCATTCAATCAAGAACTATTGAGGTGTTTATATGGAAATTAAATATGTATTTAAATCAGATAAATTACAAATTGGTTGCTATTCCTAAAACTTTATATAATAAATTATACAAGATTTTTAGTGTACATTTTTATAATTGGTTTTTACTTTGCATATGTTTAAATTATTTTATTACTAAATACTCAGGTCTTAATGGCATGTATGTTCTATTCATTTAACATTTTTTAAGCTATTGTGTTACATTAGAAATAGTACAATAAAGCGAGAAATAATATTGACATAACACCTTGCATCTGAAATACAAATGTAGTGACACGTCCGTGCTTAAAATAAGCCATCAGCATTGGCAGCTCTTTAACTCTGGATCTGTTTTTAGCCCCCACACCTTTGGTGTGCTCCTTTCTCAGAGAGCGGTGCTTGATGAAAGTAGCACTGTTATGACGATATTTACCACAAATTGTTTTAGGAACCGAAGAAGATGAAACTCTTACTGTTACAATGGTGAATAGCTGTTAAAGGAGCGAAAAATATAAGATTCAGAATCACTGGTTCTCTATTTTCTTATAAGATGTCCATATTAACTCACTCACTTTATCATGTATCTCATAAAAAGCTGCTCAACATCTGTCGAATGCAGAACACTGTGTTAGGCACTATGGATAAAGCAACCAATAAAACACACACACACACACACACACACACACACACACACACACACGCTGTCCTTATGAGTTCACAGCCTTGGCAATGACTATGCTATAAGAGTGCTGTAATTGGTCCCAGAAAATATATTGCCATATGTTTCTTTTCATCTTATGAGAGGCTTAATTCTTTGCATCTATAGATAGGTATGTTGTTGAAAGCATAAGGTCGTATATATCAAAGGTATCACATTTTGACATTTTTGTTTCTAATTATTTCACTGAAAAAATATATCTTATATATTATAAATATATAACATAAATATATAAAATTATACATGCATATATAATAAAAATACTAGGATGCCTGTATAGAACAACAGAAGTATAAATAAATAGTATGGTAAAGAGAAACCTAGGCAGAGCTAGACTAAATTTAAAAGGATATTGAACGTGAAATAATTTATATTTGAATCTTTAAATAGATGTTTATTCATGATATGTGTGTATGCACATATCAAGTATATGCAACCTCTGCTAGTTTGCCTTTTTATGTATATCTAGGACATCAAAATTAGTACCATCTCTTGTTAGTTCATTTGAACATTTAGAAAGAATTAGAAATGATGAAGAATTTTCTGTTTTGTCTTATATATATATAAATTGAAGACATATAGTGTTTCACATTCGCTGGTTCATTAATTTCTTGGACATTTCAAGTTGGATACTTTCATGAATTTTGTGTGTGTGTGTGTGTGTGTGTGTGTGTGTGGTGCTGGGTTATAAGATACAACTGGATAAGTTATTCTTGCCCTGGAGTAGCTTATGATCTATTTAGGTAAAACAGATTAGGTAAATCACTTAATCACAAAACAGGATCACTGTTGCTATTATAGTAATATTAACAAAGTATGGGAAACATAGGCTTTAGTTACCCTTGTTTGAAATTTCTCCCATAAAATATTCTTTTGGAAATAAACCAGAGATGTGAATAAATTATTGCATTTAGGCATTGAAATGTTTTAAAAATATTTTTTGGTATCAGTTTCCAATTTTAATCTTTACCTCAGTACATACATTACTAATATTAATAAATGATAAATTTTGTATATGTTTAAATAAAACTAAATGTATGAAAGCATGTAACAAATTATTGGAAAGTTTTCTCTTTTTTTAAGATTTTTTTTTAATTGGGGAATTGGGGGAAGGGGAACAGACAAGTTGCTGTACTTTTGTTCTTCAGTCTAGTTGTGGAGGACGTCGCTTCACTGGCCCAAGTTGGCACCATCATTGTGCTCTTCCCCGGGCAAGGCAGATCAGTCACTGGCTTCTGATGGTCCTCACAGCGGCTGCTGGCTACACATGGTAGCCCATGGCAACCCACCTGCTGTCGCTGGCGACTTATGGCAGTCCAGCTCCAGGTTGAGCTGTTGTTCAGCATCTTAGCTGTAGAGGGCAGTGTCACTGGCCCTCATATGTGGGATCCAAACCGGGTCCTCTGGCGCCCCAAGCCAGCTCTTAACCAATGTGCCACTCAGCCAGCCCAGGAAAGTTTTCTTAAAATCATCTTCAATATTAGACTGAATAATATTAATGCTAAGAAAAACTGCATGGTTTACTTATTTGTTTATTTACATTTTAGATTTGAAAAATGTGTGAGTGCTAAGGAAACTGTGGAGACTGATCTTTATAAACGATTTATTCTGGTGCTGAATGAGAAGAAAGCAAAAATCAGAAGCTTACAAAAATCATTAAGTGAAGTTCAAGAACTAGAAAAGAACATCAAGCATGAAAGGTATTTTGGCTTTTCTGTTTTGAGATGCAGACACATAAATTTAAGTGGAATTTCTTTCCAAACTTAGTGAAAGTTAGGTGCCAACTTTTTAGTAGTATGAGATCATTTGATGGTCTGGAGTTGGATGCAGTGGACTGGAGAATTCTCAGCACGATCTCTCTATGTCTGCCCACCTGCCATACCTACACTTAAATCATGAAACTGGTATGAGGCTCATTTAAATAGTATGTGTTTAATTTTTAGACATGTTTAATTTTTAGAATAAGAAATGTATTAATGAAAAACTTATCATTTGCAAAACTACAGCATTGAATACACATTTGTGACCTTGATGTCTAAGTAATGGTTAATTTTAGAATCAAGTAGTTCTGAAAGTGGATGTGCACTTGATTTTTAAGGAAGAATCGTAGATGACTAATGGCTACTATGGCTTATAATTATTTTAGGCATTTGCAGATACAGGTTAGGGTGTGTGGCCCTGAATCTGAGAGAAAAATAGGTTTACTAATGGCATAATATAAAGAATATATCATTTAGTGTCAGAGGGTCCTAGTTCAAATGCTGGTCTGGTATTGATACATATTCTATTACTATGTGACTTTGAACAAGTTCTTCAAACTCTTTGTGCCTTACTTGGGTGTCTTCATAATAAAAATAAAGGTACCTGCCTCAGAAATTTCGGGACAGGTCAAATGAAATGAATGCAGAACTGCTTTGAGATCAGTAAAATACTGAACACTGCGACCCACTGAGGATAATTTGGAAACATAGTATTTTGATAGATGAATAATAAATGATAAGTAACTGATTGAAGAATTAATTATAGTGAGCACTTAACCGCATTTAGATTCGGTGAAAGGGAAACTTGTTCTGAAGAGAGTTAACAAATAGTGTTTGAAGAGCTTTCATCTTAATGACATATATTTCAATATATGTTTGTTTAATTATAATGTTTTTCCAGGGATATTTTCTATAATCATTTACTGGTCAACTTGATACCTAGCCAGGGCTGAGTCAATAATTTATAATTCTACCTTTCTCTGTTTCTAGAGAAACTCCCACATGTTCTGAAATGACTGCCGACAGAGATGCAATCTACAATGAAAGTACTGATGAGGAATGTGAAAACCTGCCGGAACCCCCTGGGTCAGCTCCAGGTAAGATAAATACATTTTTTTCCTGCTTTGAATACCTCACTTGGGCTTGTTAGTCTAATGATGATAATCCATAATGGAAAATCTTATGAAAAGATTTTTTTTCTACAAAAAATTCTCTAGAGTTTTTAGTGTAAAACCTCAAATGCTTAATGTCAAAAATGAACATTTATTGTAAAAGGCAGCGATTCATGAGCAACAACCAAACAAGCAAGCAGACACACATACACACAAACCAAAGGATACTATTCCTCCTTAAACAAGGATGCATCAGCTATAAACAGGATATGCCTTCATGCCAAATACCTCCAGCTCATAGCTGGCTGCCTGTAACATTTGAGATCTTATCTAGCTAGAGCTATGGGTGGGGTAATGCAGCAGGGTTCTTTAAATTACCCTGAGGTGGAGGCCTTCTCTCACTGTTCAGAACAGGGATTGTCATAGGGTGAGACTAGAGAGAGGAGAAGAGAAGAGGAAATCGCAGTTTCAAGTACCCGAACCTTCCTCAGTACCTCAGACCAAGTACCCAGCAGGTTTTTAAACCCATGGATGGTTTTTCTAGAGTTCTGTAGATTTCCTAGAGGCAGAGGCACCTGAACTCATCTTACACTTGGGTGGTTATGATGTAAGCCCAGGATTCGCGGAATTAATGTTTGATTCCTTTATTTAGCAATTATGTTTTTGAGTGTCTGTTGTGTACTAGAAACTTTTCTGTGCAGTAGAGAGGAAAGCACAAAATAGTCTGCTTTCATGGAGCTTAAATGCTAGTCAGATGATAACAAGAAGAATAGATTTAAAGTAAAATATGTTAAGTGCTAAAGAGAAACATAAACCAGGGAGAGATGATAGAAAATCTCAGGGCGGGAATCAGATGAGGGTTGTGATTTTAGCCAGGGCAATAGAAAAGGGCTCAGTGAAAAGGTGGCAAGTCTACCTGTGGGGAGAGCATGGTCCGCAGAAAAAACAGCTACATACAAAGGCCCTGATGTGGAGGGCTTGCCTGATGTGTTCAAGCAGTAGTACAGAGGGCAGTATGGATAAAGTGGAAAGATAGGGAGCATTAGGAGATGAGATGAGAGAGAGGCCAGATCATGTGTAGGGTTTTATAGTTATCATTTAAACTTTTACTCTGAGTTATATTGGAAACTTTTATAGAGTTTTAAACAGTCAAGTGACATGATCTGACTTGTTTATTTTTAATGTAATTAAATATATTGGGGTAACATTGGCTAATAACATTGTATACATTGTATACATTCTATAATACATCACCTGTATATTGCATCGTGTGCTCACCACCCAAAGTCTAGTCCCCTCCTGTCACCTTATATTTCAGCCCCTTTCCCTCTTCACCCTCTCACCACTTCACTTTCACTTCCCCTGTGGTAACCACCATGCTGTTGTCCATGTCTGTGAGTTTTGTTTGTTCGTTTGTTGCTTTCAGTTTTATATCCCACATATGCGTGAAACCATATGGTTCTTATCCTTTTCTGTCTGATTTATTTCACTTAGCATGATATTCTCAAAGTCCATCTATGTTGTCATAAATGGCAGTATGCCATCATTTTTTATGGCTGAGTAGTATTTCATTGTATACAAGCACCATATCTTTATCCAATCACCTGTAGAAGGAAACAACTTAGGTTGTTTCCACATCTTGGCTATTGTGAATAATGCTGCAGTGAACATAGGGCTGCATATATCTTTATGAATAGCGTTTTCAGTTTTAATAGGATTGATCTGGCTGTTGTGCTCAGAATAGACTGTAGGATGATAAGCACAGGAGAAGATGTATCAAATGGAAAGCTAGTTCAATAATAAATGAAGAATGACAGTGGCTTAGACCAGAGTGATAGCAGAAAGTGATAACGGGCAACTTCCAGATATGTTTAGAGGCAGCAGGATTTGTGATGAAGTGGGTATGGGTCATGAAAGAAATACAGACACCATCGATGGGTAAGTTTGTTGGGCTGAAATTCTGGAGGCATGCAGTTGACTTACCTAGTTGGGGGAGACTGCAAGAGGAAGATTAAGAACTCTGTTTTAGAAACATTAATTCTGCGATATTGAATAGGGGGTTGAATATACAAATTTGGAGTTTGGGGGAGGACTACGTTTTGAAGATATAAGTAAAGATGGTATTTAAAGCTGGCTGAGATATCAACGGCATTAGAGAGAAAAGAGCAGTGATCCAATGACTGTGCCCCAGTGCACTTGAATGGGTAGAGGTGAGGAAGATGAGGATACCTGCAAAGAAGGCTGAGAAGGAGCAACCAGAAGTAGCTGGCAAATACTGGCAGTAGGGTTTCCTGGAGGCCAAGCCAAGAAAGTATTTCAAGGATAAGACAGTGATCAGCTGAGCTGAATGCTGCAAATTAGCAAGGAAGGTGAGGATTGAGGACTGAGGGATTTATTAATAGCAACTCCGACGTCACTGGGGATTTTCTCACACATTTTTAGTGCAATGGAAGGGAACAGAGGAGAATAGGAGATTCAAAAGGAACACGAGGAGAGAATTGGCGAAGAGACAGAAACTTGAGCCACACTTTTAAAACGAGTTTTACTGTGAGGAAAAGGAAAGACCTGGGGTAGCAGGCAGAGGGGGAAGTGGAATCTAAGGGTTCTTTTTTGTTTCGTTAGATGAGAGAAATAATATCATGTTTGCATACTGATGGGAGTAAATAAGGAAAGAGGGGAAAAAATGCCCAGGCAGTACCCAGGTAAGAATTCCAGTAATTCTGCCTCTGAGTAGATAAGAAGAGATGGGATCAAATGGACAAGTGGCAGGATTCATTTAGCTAGGAGCTTGGGCACTTTCCATAATGATAGGAAAGAAGGTAGGATAAATGGACAAAGACACAGGAAGGTATCTAATTGCAGGCATGGAAACTTACTGATGTTGATTAAATTAGTTGTTTGATGAATCTGATTCTAATTAGATTTGAATTGTATCACACAATCACACACCCTCCCTTTTGTATATCAGAGTTAAATTTCTCTTCATTGGGAAGCTATGCTTATTTTACATTAGTGAGCCATTTAAAATGAAATCACCCTTTAATAATAAAATGTAATGGAAAGTGCACAAAGAAACAGCATCTGTACTCTTTCCAATTTAAACATTTAGAATTTTTATTAAATGCAATGGCCTTTGATTTTGTTCCTTATTCACAGTATCTCACCAACCTTTGAAGTAGATGAAAATTATTGTTGAAGAGAAAATGTATGGTTAAATTTGGGTATATGAGAATGGGGTCCTTTATATATTCATTCTTTTTAAGAAGATCTTTAAGCTATAATTGTACTATTTTAAATTTGGCAAATTTTCTCTTTTCAAAAATGTTTAGTTCCTTGCATAGTTTTTTTTATATTTTTCATAGCATATTTTCTTTAACTTATATCTAGTTCACTACATATTTGATGCATGAGTCTCACATCCCCTTTTTTTAGATTTAACTTGCTTTTGTCAAGTTTTTCATGTCAAGAATTAAGAGCATTTTATTAGAAGCTTTAACTATTCTTTTCCTTCTGCTTTAGTAATAAATATATAGGAAGCTGAAGTTTGCTAAAAAAAAGCAAGAAAAAAAGAAAAAAAAACACCTCAGCTCTAAAGTGCTTGATATTGAATTCTGAACTAGATTTCATAGATCTGAGGAAAAATGTATATGTTAAACAACAAAGTGATCCTCCTTATGTTAACCAGATTCCATAATTCATTCTTTTACAGAGACAAAATATATTCTCATTTCATTTTTTCTTTTTACCACAGCTTTGTCTTTTGGTATTTTACATATTAGTACCATGTGCTTGGGGCAGAGCAGAGAGTTTTTTTCTGAATTTATTCTGCCATCTTGACAATCAATACTTATTCTTAGAGTACAGGTAAATGTATGAATTTATTTTAGATATTCAAGTTTCATGTATGCTTTTCCTACTCTAAAAACAAGAGGAAAGGAAATTGATGGGATTTAATACATTTGTCTTTCAGACAGCCATTTCTTTAAGTAGCTAAATGTGTACGTTGGTAGTCATTTTTATCATGTAAATGTATTATCATCATGAATTATTAACATCACTAAATTTCTTCATGAGTTGTTCACCTTATTACCCCATTCCTGCATGATAAAATAGGTTCTAGTGAGACCGAGATCATTTAGTAATTCCATAGTATTCATTCAAGAAAAAGGTCTGTTTAGTTTTATGCATATATCCAGAAGTAGGGTAGAGATATTGTAGTTTTTATGAATAAGCAATCTGTTTTATTACTTTTATTCTCCAAAGCTTAAAATTTTCTTCCTATCATTAGGATTGTTGAGGAAATAACTAATGACAAGTAGTCCAATCTAGTAAACTACATCATGCTCCTATGAACTATACCATGTAGCATGAAAAACCTTTAAAGTATTCATTACAGTTTATTAGCTAAAAGGAGATCTACGAAGTATTTTGAAATTTGAACATCACAGTCTATACCACCCCACAACTACATTTTATATTTTTCTGTAGCAAGATTTACTTGCTTTATGTCCAAAGTTCCAGAATTTATAGATTGGTAGCACAGGTATTACAGACTTTATTTCTTTATCTACAACTGCATACTAAGGCCCTAGAGATCACAGCTATTTCACCTTTTTTTCAGATTAAGATTATGATAAATGAGATGGTTGCTGAGGTTTCTATTTATAACCCATCCTCCCCACCCCCCATTGCAAAAGAAGACGGGTTCCTTTCACTCTCATGTAGCTGGTATTCTCTCCTTGTGGCTTTCAGGATTTGCTAGTTAGTCTGGACTCCTCCTATGTCTAAAGTATTCTTTGTTTTTTAATTCAGTGGAAACCTGTCAGGTTATTATAGATATTATAAAACAACCTTCTCTGCAGGAAACCCTCTGTTTCTTTGTATACAAATCAAGGTAACACCTGAAGTCAATAGTGGTGGAGAATCTTCAAGGTGAACTAGGTCCCCTGAATGACAGACCCTAACCAAAGTACAGAGGGTGCCAA